CCCCTCGGTCCACCGTGTCTGTGGTGAATCGAATTCGAAGGAACAAAGCGCAAATTCAAATCATTCAAAGCTCGGTCTATTCTGCCGAGCTAAGGAAAAACGCCGTAAAAACCTTCAGGCGTTGCCAAATTTCTTATGCTATAACACGGATTTCCTAATGAACTTATGAATATTCTCTCTCCAATTTTTCAGAGAATTTTGCTCTCAGTTTCTCATAGAATTCGAGAAAATTGAAGAGAAAAATATTCGTAACATTCCTCAAAAATAGATATTTTCTGCAAGGAAATTTGGCATCATTCGAATGCTCGAACTGCGTTTTTCCATAAAACGGCAATATTGCACTCTCTCTATTCCGCAAGGTCCGCGCTAAAATCAAATCGTCGGATGTTATTGTGGCTGTGCCAAACTCAATACTCACTACAATTCGCCATAAAACTGTGACATTTCAAGCTACTTTTTCAACTTTTCATTTTGCCGAAAACGGGAATTTTATCCTCCATTTAAATTTATGTCGTTTTTCAGGGACTGCGTATGCAATCCGCTACAATTATCCGAGATTTCGATGGTAAACTTTGAAACTCTTGTTATTTTTCTCCAAAATTTCAAAATAAAGATTTTATTGTTTTTATGCTTTTCATGACATTGTGAGTCCATTGCAGAAGTTTTAATAAATTTCATGAAATTTCGTGAAATTTTCTTTTTCCGGAGTTTCATGAAATTTTGCTCTTGGTCATACCACACAAAAACAATTGATTATAGCTAAAGTGGAAACCACGTATCTGTTTGCGACTTCTTGTTACACTATATTTTTTCTGCAGAAAACTTTTCATCGTATAATTTCTTGATAACGCTCCTGATTGATCTTATGAATTAGCAAAATATTCTATGTAAATTTCGAGGTATGAATTTAGCTTGCTTCTCTTTGAAAAAATAAAATGAGAGCAGCAATGATAAAATGTCACAATGCAGATACGCAGTGGCGTGGCGTGCATTATTGCGACGTATCGATTGTTATGCCATTTGAACCTATGGTAAAGAATCGATTATGAAGGTGTTCGCTGCGAACACCCTATTTATCGATCATTTTCGATAGGTTTAAATGGCATAACAGTCAATAAATCGCAAAGGTGCGTGGTGTCGCAATATAGCCATCGATTTTCCGATCTGTCATCGAATTCTCATTTCTTACCCTCGGATGAGAACATTGTTATTGTTTGGATCTAGTTCGATATAATCTAGAATCCTAATGGTGACGTCACCATACAGCATTTACGTACGGGAAGCATCTATTCACTTCAGTCACCAATATTTTTTTCAAACATTTCTTCATGATCGAAAAATAATAAAATAAATTCATACAAATTCAAAATTTTCGGCGTAATTTCGCACGTGAAATATAAGGACATTTCGGTTCTCTAATTTCACCTCGTTAAATTTTTTTAAATTCAGAGAGCGTTCGGACAGAAAATGCGATTATGTTCGTGGAAAAATGGCCGACAGATTTTACTGCGATTTACTTTCCTTTGAAAAGTGGATCGAACGGGGGGGCTGCAAGGGGATATCGTTCGAAAATGCTCAAACATTGGCATAGCTAAAAGCGGCGCCGGCCGGGGACCGGGCATTTCGCAAATTGCTGCGCTGTGAGTGTTAAATCAGAAGAAAACGGGGATCTCCCTCCCCGATCAGAATCGGGATATTGACGTCGGTATCTGCATAACATCTGTGAGGGATAATGCGACGCGACGGGCCCGGAAATAACGAGACGAGTCCATGCTCATCAGCCTCATTTTTCAGGAATCCCATTCAATTTTACGATGAGCAGTAAAATGAGGAAGCTCCCTCTCTCTACTGCCGACCTCTATACTGCCGTGCTAAGGAAAAACGCCGTATGAGCATTCGAATGTTGCCAAATTGCCTCCAAGAAAATATGAATTTCTGAAGACAGTGATGCATGTTTTTCCTTGAAATTTTCAGAAACTTTAGATCAAATCACGAACAAAATTACTCTAAAAAGTGGAGGACAAAAGTTTAAAATTATTCCCGAAAATTCGAGATTTCTCGAAGGAGATTTGGCAACGCCTGAAGGTTCATACGGCATTCTTCTTTAGCACGGCAGTATATATACATCTAGTTTTCTAGTCCTGAGAACAACAGTGCGATTACGTCAAGGGCATTTTCTCATTGCACCGGCAGAAAAAATCGATTTGTTGCAGTTTTTGCACTCATAAAAGTTGTCGATTTTTATTAGTGTTCTTCCTCTTTCACGAACGACTAGGCCATAGCCCTGTTTGTCAGGCTATCCAGTATCGAGCACAATAAACTATAAGAATATTAAAATTTTAAAAGTCTAAAATTACTAAAAGTAAAGGACTCGTCAAATCAATAAAATCAGCATAAAATCTTTAATCATCCTCAGAGGAAGAGAGCCAGCTTTGTGCCCATCTTTTAGGCGGTCGTTTAGGTAATCTTTTCCTTATGGGAATTTTTATTAGCACAAGCGCAAAATATATTAATCATCAGAAAATGCAGCCCGCAGTCGGAGCCCTCAGCCGAAAATTGTAGTCATATTGTGTAAAATCGGTATTTGGATAATTCAGGTCATGTGATGACCATGAAACAACTTTGCCGCCTTCGTCGTTCCTATATCAGAGGAGGTGGGGGCCTTAGCCCACAGGACGATAACATTGTTATATATTTGAACGATTAAAACATTATTTAAAAAATAATTGACGATGTCGTGATAAAATTCAGTGATGGTTAACATCATCTGCACAACAGGTAACGCCGGAGTTAAGTCACGGTGTAAGAGAAACCGCGCTCGTAGTTAGTGTCGCATGCGACGAACACTGTAAAGTTTCCATTTTAACTCCTGGATGCAACTATTCGGGCTCCATGGATGTCCGTGTTGCATACGCATGCGAGTGAAGGCGTTTTAACTGTCCAGACACTCGCCACTTCACCGCAGCCCGCGGCGCGACGCCGACGGCGGGCCTTATTGCAAAGATTTGTAATGGCAGAGAGCTTTCAATTCTTCGTTTATACCACAAAGCTATCTGCTAGGCAGAATATTCGCATACAGGCGTAGGATGTATCTTTTGTGCGTCTGTTTTGACATCGCGGTGTGTTAAGTATGATCTGTGGATCAACTATTCATGTCTGATAGATGTCTTTGAAGTAAAAATGAAGAATTGAAATCCTTCTGTCACTCTAGATCCTCGCAATAAAGCAAGCTGTTCTGAAGAGAGGCTGGACGTGAAATTTTCGACAAAAAATGCTAATTTTGGTCTTAATTTCTTTACATCATAAATGGTTTGGGGTGCATTTTCAAGGAAATGTTACGAGAAAATCAATGAAACCACTTTTAAACTCTTTGCGTTCCGTTTTAACACCGATTTAACCTTTAATATTTCCACATTTTGTATGATTCCCTCTCTAATTCGCCCCTCTGGGCGCCGCCAAGGAGGCGATTAGTGCCTGAAATCAAAATGCCTACAATTTCGTGTATGTGCAACACGGACATCCATAGAGCCCGAATAGTTGCATCCGGGCGTTGTGCATATTGAAAAATTAGTTTAGTATCTCGTATGCGACACCAAGTGGAGCTTTGAGTGTTTCTCTAACATATTAATTTAGTTCCAGCGTTGTCTGTTATATTGATGAAGTAATCCATTACTGATTTTTATCGCAATAATGTTAATCTTCCGACAAATGCATTATTTAAATCAATTACATTATCTGCCCTTGCAATCGCAGAGAAGTGGGTATTTGAGCACGATTTGTATAGTTTCCTTTGATCTACTTTGATGAGTCGTCCTTTTGTTTGGATTTTTTTCCCTTTGGGAAAACTAATTTTGAGGTTTCAGTGCGGTTGCGATTGCGGTTTCAGGTTCTATTCAAAGAGCAATTTAGATGAATCGCACAGAATTTGGAGATAAAACGTTGATTATTCCTATTTCGACACAGTAAATGCAACAGGAAATGTGTAACATTACAAGCCTAAATACCCGTATATGAATTCCTAGAGGTGCAATGGCGAATATAATAGTGAAAATAATATTTTGTTCCGTCCTTTCCCTCCTGAAATGTAGCTGCGATTAGCATGGCCGGATTAAGGGGGTGGCTACATGGGCCGCGGCCCATGGCGGCAAATCTTAGGGGCGGCAAAAATTTGAAATTTTTTAAAGTGTAGGCGGTATAAAAACAAATCGGATTTATATAAACGAAATTACAAACGAGAGAAGGCGACAAAATCTCTCATTTCCTGAGAGTATAGTAATAATTTCTAATTTTGTCGTATCTTAGTGATACAAGAGACAGCACCTTCAATAAGTCAAGTTAAGAGAGAGACCAAACACGCAATTTAGCCTGGAAATGCGCGACTTAGAGAGAAATGATAACGAGGACTTGAGATGAAAAGGAGAAGCCCTCGGCGCGGCGATCGGCATGTAACACATATTACCGCCTACAAGACTGCACGAATACTTCACGCATTGCATCAAACACAGTGCGGTCATTGCGGTCAGCGTGAAACGGATAGCGCCTACAAGAATGCATGAATACTTTACGCATTGCGCTAAACACAGTGCGGTCAGCGCGAAACGCAAAGCGCCTACGAGACTGCGTGAATGCTTCACGCATTGCGTCCAACACGGTGCGGTCTGCGCGGCGCGGCGGCGGAAGTTAAAATCATTGAACCACATTTATGTTTGTTCTTTCATAATTTTTTTGTTCATTTCTTATGAATGGAAGGCCTTGTCCACACAAAGATAGGTTCACGGAACTTAACTTTCGCGCAAAGTTCCGTGAACTTTTGCTAGTCGTGTTGACAGGGCTTTCCCAAAAATGTGTTCAACACCCGTAACCGCGTCTTATGCACCCCTCCCTCGCTGGCACGTTCATTTGATAGTTTTTATCGAGTTTCAAAACGAATGAGAAGGGGGCGGCAAGACATAGGCGGCCCATGGGCGGCAAGTAGGTGAATCCGGCCCTGGCGTTTAGTGTGCTTTATTTCCTCTTGAGATGAAGAATCAAGTTTAAAAGCAGATCCCTAACAAATTGTAATTTACAATACGTTCTTTCATCATTAGTGTTGGAACTTTCTTGTGTTCTGTGTTTTCACCTTTCAGATGACGCAACAATGGTATTCAAATGAATGTGGAATTTATTCCTTGCGCTCTCAGTTAAGGTGAAAACTGCTTTGAGGGGATTTGCTTTGTTGCCTTCCACTCTTATTCACGAGCCACGTTGGAGCAAAGTAAGGGAAGTCCAAAGGGCGTAATTTTTTGAAACCACAAAAAAAACCCAATATCATTCCCATTCAACACACTCAAATAACAACTTAATCCGGAGAAAGGCTGCCGCAATATACAGAAGATCACATGCAAGAACAGCGGTAGGTTTCGAGATAAGCATCTACAAACTTATTTTCAACCGGGAAAGAACAAAAAATTCGGTCGTCAATGCGCTGTTGTTGCAAGACCCAGACTGATTACAAAGTAAACAGACTCGGCCCAGTCCCAGTGCAACATAACCAAGGCACGTAAGAACAAGGAGGGGGAAACAAGGGTCTGTTTACTTTCTAGTCAGTCTACGTCTCGCAATAACAGTGCATTGACGACTCAAGTTTTTAGCTTTTTTCCGGCTGGGAATGAATTCGTAATAATCTCGGAACGTCCCGACTTTTTCAAATGTGACATTTTGTATTTTGCACCAGCCTTCCCCCCGATTTTGGTTTTTTGGCTGCCGAACCTTTTTTCCCATAAAGCGCATATTGACACGGTGGCTGGTGGTATGTTCCGGCCTCTTCACCAACTTTAGGCGAAAAACAGAGGGAAGGAAGGGGAGAAAGGGGAAAAGAATGAGAGTAAAAGTAGCATACCTAAAAATTTAGTACAACGGTTTTAAGACCTACATGCGTTAGGTACTGCCTTCTTATCGTCTGCCATATTTATTCCTGATATTTTACACCTCAGAGGCAAATACTCCCGATACTTGCGGAAAATTAAGATGAAAAAGACAAGATACCCCCCTTATTTTACTTTAAACCCAATAACCAAAATGGACCACTAGACAAGGTACGAATTTCAGCATTCTGATACATGCTTCTTAACCAAAATTTCACGTAGAACACAATGCGTACAACGAAAATTACCGAAATCAACTCCTTACGAAGATATTCAATAATTTTGATGCGTGAATTCAAACCACCCGCTCATGAAAAACTCAAATGCTCTACGTGATTCACATCGCGCGCTAAACGTTTATCATGACAGTCTCTGCGATATACAAATCTGGCAACCTCAATCTTGACGCTTTGGCTCAGCTATAGCAAATTACCAATAGTTTGAACAACATATGGTGGAAATGAACATTGCTCGATTGAGAAGATTGCTGAAACCGTTGTAGTGCGCGATTTGACTCACGTAGAGCTTTGAGTTTCTTGTGAGCGGGCAGTTCAAATTCTTCGTGACCAATGTGAAATAAAAACGTTATTATCTTCCTTAGGAGTTGGTTTCAGTCATTTTCGTTGCGCGAATCGTGTTTTGCGTGAAATTTTGGTTAAGAAACATGTATCAGAAGCCTTTAATTCGTACCTTGTCTAGTGGTCCATTTTAGCAAAATCACCTCGCATCCCAATACCTAATCTAGGAATGCCCCCCCCCCCCCCCCCAACCTTCACTCATCGCAAAGCCAAATGCCTCCCTCTATGTAAAACCGTGTCTGGATCCACCGCTGCCGTATTTTGTTCACGACCCCGCGTTCTTTATGTCTTGAGAACTATTGTGCGTCGGTCTGTTAAATTTGCACGAGGCAAGCCGGCCAAATGGCGGACTGAGCGTATCACTGTGCGCCATGCCATGCCGGTCTCTTGCCGACCCGACTCGGCCACCGACCGCCACCCGTCCGAAAATAACAGTCATTCCGCGAACCTCCGCGAACCACCGCGCCGCTGCCGCACCACGAGACCACGAGTGCCGTTACGAACTGTCATCAAGTGCTCATACTGGATTAAACCCTACATCATCGTCTTCCCTCGCGAAAACAATCGCGACAGATAAAAAAAAGAAAGGCACGTTTTGCGCGGAATCATTCGGCGGTGAATGTAGTCAGAGGAAAGTTTTCGCCGAGGATGCTCCCATCGAATTTCACACGAGTTCAGTTGTGCTTTCTCTTTCATCTCCAGACAAATTAAAATATTTCGTGTTTGTCCCCAGATTTTGAAAAATTATCGATTTTAAAGTTCCGACTCGATGTGTTCCTATGAATTTAATTTTTAAGTAGACCGTGTCATGTAGTGCAGTTTTCTGGAGGTTCGCACGAACCAAAAATTCTCATATCAAATTAAGTTTATCAAATTATAATGAGTGACACAACGCCGTCTAGAGAGGCCCCAGCACCAACCATGACTACCGAATCGCCAGCCAACAGTCTAGATGTGTACTACATTCCAAACATAAACAATGAAGAAAAAAATTACAAGAGTAACTGCAAGTCTACCTTATCTCAGGTAAGCACAAATCACTAAGATTTTAGATATGAATCTGCAGAACATTCTTCACTTACGTTTCTTGATATGACATCCACCAATTTTGATCCCTAATTGAATGAATCTTCTTTACTACGACTATTTATCTTGCATTTTCATCTTTGCCCATGAAAATCAGTATTTATGTCTCTGAAGCTTCGGCATGACACGAGGGATTTCAGTTCGGAAAATGTTATTTTAGGTCAGTTTTCGCATGCCTAACCTTGACCTCAATAGTCTCAAATATTATATAAATCACTTGACGTCAAACACAGTGATGCTTTGTCATCGAAAAATACCGACTCGACATGAAATAGACTGAATTTGGCAATCTATAAATCCTGGACTATGGGATGTGCATGCTTTCGTGACGTCACTAAATGTTTGAAGAATGCATGACAGTGATATAATTTATTTTGATGAGTTGCATGATCGTAAAAATTTATTTACCAATGAAACCCATAAAAGATTTAAGTTTTAAAAATTCCCATAATTTCTCATTTTCTACAAGGTACACTATAAATGAGCATAAATGGGAACTTACTTGTGAAAAAGGTATTCAGACTTTACGTAACTTCATTTTCGCCACTATTGCTTTACACAGCAAGCTGTATTGAGTCTAAATTTTTCCCAAAAAAGATTCGTGGTAGCCGCTTTTTTATTACCCATATATCAGAAATGATAAAAGTTAGGTATTTCATATGAGAGAGTGAGTAAGGGACTGTCTATGGGTGACGTCAGAATTCTAGGGCAATGAGATCTACGGGTGGCGGCGAGACATGTACCTAACGTTGGGGGAAGGGGGGGGGGGGTCAGAGTCAAACCGCTCCGAAGAGCTCATCATGAAAACCCCAAGTGAACATAGCGCGGAACATCCGAAAAAGAAATGTTATTAAAAGAGAGGGATCGAAACATTGCGGGGAAAAAAATTTCTGACTTCCTCATTTTATGGACAACACATAAAGGAGGTAAAATAAGAAAACGGAAAAAACGGTCACTTAAGCACTAGAACGTCAAAACCACGGGGATTCACATAGGAAAAAATAGGATTACATTTCGCAATCAGAAGCCACCACCCTGGCTCACTTTGAAGACAGCATTACGTGCATAATGCACCACTTTTTTCTCGTCGGAGTGATCCAAAAATCCCTCACCTTAGGCACCAGGCATCACTCCTGTAACTTATGCACCTATTGAGATAGGTACTTGAAATTTTTGGAATGCTCCCCTGTCAAAAAGAACGACTTTCGGGAACCCCCGGTAGAGGAACCGGAACCCTCATGAAAAGGGGCCTTGACCTCAGGGGTGAAAGGGGTAGTGCGGGACTTTTGAATCACCCTCTATGCAGTCAGGTGCATTCATAGACAAGCCATAAGTCGTGGCTCTTGAAATATTACAAAACGCAGTCTGATGGATCCGATGGATTGCATTGGGACCGATGTATGCGGGCGGAGAGAAATGAATGTAGATCAGTAATTTCCAATAGAAAACAGATATTTTGTTTCTCTCCTTTGTCACTGGAGACGGTAGAATCCAATATGCCCGGATTATCTCCGGAAAATAGGTACCTGAACCCGGTACCCACTCGCATGATGCCGTAATTGTGAGCGCAGCGCTCGTAAAGCTACCGCGTTCTCCTCGTAATCGGATCAGATGGAAGTCCCATTTCAATTCCTCGTTAAAAAGGCGAAATCTGATATATTTGCAAACTTATATGCATATTTGACGAGTCGACTTACTCGACAGACATTTGGAAATTAAATAAGTCATCGAACGATTTCGCCAGATTCCCGAGCTTGTCTGAAAGGCTTTCAATATCTCGGAATCGAGCTGTAATAAGTTGCGTGAGACGTCTGCGCGGAATGTGCGTATTTCATAACAGGCGACGGAGAGTAACAGATGCACAGGAATGCAAAATAAATAAGAGGTTTGCAATAAGCTGCTCGACGTGATATTATGATGTCTTAAAGGTGGATCCTGAACTTTTCCGCGATGAATTCTGGGTACTCTCGATATGTTTTTAATTTTAAGCTTTCGGTGGATTATTTCAGTAAAATCATAATGTCAATATGTAGGATAAATTATTCAGGAATGCCTGTGTCGCAAATCATTTTCCAAAGTTTTGGAACGGAGTCAAAAGTTCTGTTCCAAATGACAATCAATATCGATACAATGGGATCGGTTCAGAAATGGAAACAGTGCCTACTTAAACTTTGATTTAAGATTTTGGCAAATTATTTTCGGCACGAAAATTCCTCATGATCACTCTACAGACTGAAAATTCGAGTTTCCCGAAATAATTCAACAAAATAGTCAAAATAGTGAAAATATATCGATCTCAAACATGTTTGCTAAGCAAGGCGAATCATAAATAAAATAAAATAACTAATTTTAAGAGCCGTACGTAACCTTGCAAATAATATTCAATTAAGTAACAAAAGCAGTAAAGTATTAGCAGCTATAGTATTTTTCGTAAGCTACTGAAGATGGGCTATGCCGGAAAGGTGTCTTCCGCTGAAACGTAAGTTTCGTTTCTGAATTAAATATTATTTGCAAGGTTGGCTCTTTAAATCAGTTATTTTATTTTATATCGATCCCGCCTTAAATGCATTGCCTAAAAGTTTAAAGATCCACCTCGAAGGAAGCTTTTAAAGCGGTGAGTAGCTCAAGCAATGAATGCGAACTTGTTCTGGCCCTATTGAGCTATCAGGCCTCAAAAAAATTTCCCATGCCTTATTAGGATTTTTTTTTTTAAAACTTAACAAATGCACACGTATTCTGCAACGGTGTTTTTGGACGTTGCTCAAGCGCTGCGCATGGCACCTTCAAGGGTTTTCAGAGAAAATGCTGCGAGATCGTGCCGGCTTGCTATAACAGTCCATTAAGGTCGTATCTTCAATATATAAATCTTTTAGAGTAAGACTTGGAAGCGACTTATCTCGGCGATAAACCCATTTTGGCAGGGGTACATGGCTCGGTGGGCAATACTTTACCTATTATTTACCTCTGATACCCCTCAACCTGTAAAAAAATAGTGTCCCAGACAAATCGTCGTTTTCCAGACGAAGAAACTTAACTTCATTCCAAGGTTGCAAAATTAACCGGAACAATTTAATTTTATAAATAAATATATTCAGGTGCATTTTTGGTTCAAAATGTCTCTGATTTTTGTGCGAGACTGGGGGAAAAATCCGATGAAATTTTCAAAAAACAGAATTGCTCAAGATTCTCCTGGTGAAAATACAAAATGGGAGATGAAATTTGGCAACACTGAAATGCATAGTTACGCTCTTTTGCGAGGGTAACAATGAACTATGCGCAAAAGATCACTTAAAGTTAGAGATCTTTTCCACGAGTTCCTCAAAAAAAAAAAAAAAAAATTGATGGGGGATATCAACAGTGAAACTCCCAAACCTCGGTTTACGACGTTGCAGACTTCATGTCAAAACTTTACTCTTTACATGAGAAACTACTCAGCGTCAATTCTTTAAAGCTTCTGTGACTTTTCTTCTTGGTGCGCGCAAAAAATTTTGCGAAAAGTTCAAGGAATGACGTTGATTTGTTCTACTTATAAAAAAATAAAATGGAAGCGAAGATTTTTAAACACTGCAAAACAAGATATGTGGTTGCGGACACACGCCGTCGATATACGTTTCACGCAGACCAGCGACCGCACTGTGTTTGGTGCGATGCGTGAAGTATTCATGCAGTCTTGTAGGCGCTAACATGCTCTGAGCGCCGACCGGCGACCGCACTGTGCTGGGCGCAATGCGTGAAGTATTCATGCAGTCTTGTAGGCGCTAGCATGGTTTGGAAGTTTCACCGTTGATATACACTAACTTAAAGTTACCGTATTTTTCTAAAACTGGGGGATGCGTCCCCTGACCGCTTCGCTGTATAACCCCCCCTCCTCCCCCGGACCGCTTATCATTTTAGGCGTCATGCGTTCCGCGTTACTTTTATAATTTTATATTTTAAAGATTTGACGAGACCACTTTTTGCACGACAGTCAAGAAGTCCAGATTGTTTTGAAGAATTGACCCTCAAGAGTTCAGTCAGAATGTTCGAGTAGGTAAATTGAGCAATTGTACGTAACCCGACACGTAACGCAGGTTTTAAAGTTCTTTGATCCTTCACCTGAGTATTAACGTCACATAATGGGCTAATCTAAACCTCTGCACTTATTTTTTTACTCGAGTGAACAAATTACTCAATGACAAAATACCGTTTCGAAAGACAGATCTCTATAATTGGGTATCTATGCCGACAGAAACGGAACGGTAACTTCAAGTTTTAAACTCATACAATGACCACATTCAACCCTCGCAGGCAGAAGCTTTCATTCATAACGGTGGCGTGGCGTGAATGATCGATTAGCGATATTTTCCCATTTGAAGCTATGGTGTAGAATCGATTATTAAGGTGTTCGTTGCGAAGACCCTGTCTATCGATCTTTTTCCATAGGCTTAAACGACAGATCAATCGATATTTCGCAAAGCACGCCACGCTACTGATGCATAATTTCTTCTGTTCATTAATGGCGTGCGACGCCAAAATGACGTGTAATCAGAGATTACACGGGTGTGTTACACGGGGTGTTCAGCGTTGCAAAAAAGTCAAAGAAAATGCCTGAATCTATTTTTTGCAACGATATACGGTACAAAAAAAGAAATTTTTCCGGCAGAAAAGTACTAGAACAACATATTAGTAGCTTTCAAAGCAAAAATGACATTCCTACATGTTTTGGCGTCTCGAGAAATGAAAAGGAAACTGATCGGTTACCCCATTGCGTTTCCTATGATTGGATTATATTTTTCAATGAGGAACTATTAGTTTTGGCTCATTTTATAAACAACGAATGTGTCATTAGTTCCCCCCAAGCCGAAGATTATAATATTGAAGATTTCTCATCTATTATAAACAATATATTTATGTCTCTTCTTTTTATTGACATAATTTTTCACTCAATTATAACAAGTATGTTTTTTTAAAAAAATTATAACGTTCAAGTAAACATTGAAGATTGCTCATCTATTATAAAAAATATATATTCATGTCTCTCCTTTTTATTGACATAATTTTTCACTCAATTATAATATTTCTGTTTTTTTTTTTTTTTTTTTTTTTTTTAAAAAATTATCATTTTCAAATGCTTTTGTGTGTTTGTTATTCTTTCACACCGACACTGTCCTCTTTTTTTGAAATTTCTGCTCACTATTGAACTTTGACAGGAAGAGAGCGAAATTCTAATTCACTTACATATCAATCATGAATCGACGGAAATGATGGGCCTTAAAAAAAGGAAATGAGTTCAGACATTCCATTTTGCGGTTCCATAAGCCTGAACTCTCTATCCAACCTCCGATTTCATTTTCACTTTTTTGTCCATTTTTAGGTTATCGCGACTCTAGTAGAGAGTCTTCTGATGGTGGTGCTTGGAACTCAGAGCGTTATGCCGACCATTGTTTTGGGGGCTCTTCGTAACAACCCGCACGAAACGCTCAGCCTGAACGATTATGACGCTGCTTGGCTAGGTAAGAATTTGAAACACCCTGTATACTCACTTACTTATTCCCCCAATACTTTGTTTCATAGTCTGTTTTCCCTGGCAGTCCAGGACAGTGGCGTGACCGGAAACGGTTAAGTCGAATGAGAGGGTTCGAAAGGGAGGGGGGAGCAGTCAGAATCGACTGAATGGAAATTTCCCTCGAAGGGGAATTCCTTGTATAGACTTGAAAACCGGTAAGAACGGAAATGGGGGAGTCATTCGATCGAAAAGTCATCGGTATGATTTTTTTTTTTTTTTTTTTTTTAATCTTTATTGTAAAGTATTACAAAAGGGGGGCGGTACCGTCCTCTGACATAACATCCCCCCTAGTACAGTTACGAGATCTTACATTTTTAATACTTAATAAAATACTTGTAAACAAAATTTTGGTCAAAAATTATATGAGAAAAAGCTTGGTCGTTAAAATTATTTAGGTCACTGAAATTCTTGTCATTTTGGATCTGAAATTAAAATAATTTGGTCCAAAATTATCTAAATCGGTATGGTTCATGAACGACATGTTTTGTGTTTAGATTTTATCCATAATCGAATAAGTTAATATTTTGAACACTAAATACTGATTGTAATCTTATGGTTGCGGGAAACTTTTTTTTTAAATCTGATGGATCTATATGCGACCATCCCTTTGCAGGGACTGTAGTTCGCAAGAGAATACTTTTTAGTGAGGCGATTTTTATCACGAGTTCGGTCAAAAAATTAAATCAGATCCTGACGAAGAGCGCACTAAAGTGTCGTATAGAGAAGCTAGCTGCTTACTTCATGTCTGTTTGCCAAAATAGGACGTAGCATTCACTAAAAATCCGGCAAAATTAAACCCTGAACATGGAAAATCAGAATTGTAAATAGCTCTCCCTCTAAACGATATTCGGTCTCGTTCACTTGTCAGTTTAATTTTAGTAGATATTTCGTTCTCAATGTTTGATTTTCTTTATACTGACTTGGCAAGAATGCCAATACAAAGTTCGGACTCAATGTCTGCGTGCAAATGTATGCCTGGTAAGGTCGCGAAGTGATTGGAAGATGTGGTCAAACTGCTCATTTTTTCCCCTTCCTTTTTTTTTCACGCTCGTAAAATCGCTTGTTAATGGTGCCTTTTGAAATGTTCCTGATTGTAAGCACTGAGGAACAAATGTTCACCTAACTATGACAATGCCACGGCATCGTTTTGCAAAGCGTTCACGCCGTGTTCCACCCACACTTAAGTGAGCAGAGCATGAATACTTATTGAATCGTTGTTCCGCCTTTCAAGTGAAGTATCGATAATCGGAGATAATTTACTTATCTTGAGGCTGCATTGAGTATGTACCTACTGTATCTCACAAAAGGCACAGGTGTTAAGTCATTTCAATGTGAATCAACGATGCAAGTACCTAGAGATGCTGTAATGTAAAAACTTGTGGGCTTATTTATTATTTCGAGGAGGATGCAGAAATAAATTTTCTCGAGAGTACAGCAGGAACAGACTGGCGCCGATAAAGTGACCAATCAGAGTTCAAATCGGCCCGTTTCAGTTTTTTTCTTGGTTTTTCTCTATGTGAACCGGCCAAAGCAACACCAAATCATCACCTTTAATATCGAGCGGCCGACCGGGATTTTTTCCGGTGTTCCGCCTGCCTACCCGCTCCTGGCCCCCTCCGAGAAATGTAAGAGATTTTGCCGAGTGAGTGTGGTGCATATGTTTCACCTCGGAATTTCAATTCGATTAATTTGTTGGTGAGAATAGCTCAAAATTAGTCCCGAGATTACGCAAATTTACAAAATTTTCCAGGGGAGCGCCCCCCCCCCCTTGAGGGCAGGAAAAGCCCCCGAGCTCTTTCTCTGGAGTTGTGTTCTCTGTTTATAGTGTCCTCTTGACATCCCTTGACGAGGTATTATTCCCCCACCCCACAAAAGTTTCTAGTTTCACTCACATGTTTGCTAAGCCGCCCCCCCCCCAGTGGCGTGCGGTCCGGATAAGCAAGGCAAGCACTGCTTGCCCAAAGATTTCTAAAGTAAGAAGAAAATTACACCTATTAAATGTTTTATATTTTAGCAAATATAATTTATTAAATGCGTTCAGTAAGTAAATTGCATTAAAAACAGAAAGAGAGGGAGACAGAAATACGTACAGAGCCACCAAAGTAGGAAAGCAGAAGAGCGGATGGAGGTGGCGCAGCGCGCTGCGCGGCCTGAACACGGGCCAACTCATGCGCTGGAGAATCGCTTGCGATCAGCTGAGCGGAGCGCCACTGCTCGGCGGCGGAATCAAGGCAGGCGGGGAGCGCGGTACGTTCCGAGTCCGAGCCCTTCGCTGCGCGATCGCAGCTCGCTTCTCTTGGCCACCTCTTGGCCCGTCACCGCAGCGCCAGCGCGCTGCTTCTGCCTCCGATGCGCTATCTTGTTCCCTCTTTTCGTCGCGGTTGTAATTGCTCCTCCGGAGCAAATGCCTTAATATTCTATAAAATTTCGCTCACTTGGATCTAATTGGTGATGAATTAGACAATTCTCAATCATGTTTTAAATGCAGAAAGCCTCTTTTTTTGGGAAATTTAAGTAACTCAAAAAATTCTAAATGCTGTAGAATAAAGACTATAATACCTCAAATAAGTGGCAAAATTAGGAGTTATGAGTAAGGA